CTTTGATATTGTGATTGAAATCTTTCACAGGCATTGTGTTTTGACAGACGGAAAACACTGGTGCTACAAATGTAATGAAAATAGTTTTATACAGTCTACATGCGTCTTGTACTCTTTGTTTAGCACATTGGTGAGAAATAAAATTTAAGCAAACTGTGCTTACATCAGATGAGGCTCTAAAGGATGTCCTTTCCCCCCTCCTTTTTACTCTCATTCTTGCTGGAAATATGGTGCTCGGGAGTTGAAGGAACAATGGTGGGGGGGGAATCATTTCCTATTAGAGGAAGCAGTGTTCACATTTGATAAAATAATTTGACAATGTGCTTGCTATGATTCTTTTTCTGTGGAAAAATGAAAAAGGACTGGAAGCTTTGACATGACAGTATGTATAGAAATGCATCTGCTAGCATTGGAACTCAGCAAATTGATCATCAATGCTGGTCCTGTTTCATGTGGACCTTTTTTGCTCATCTTTGTTTTTACTGATGTTTAGGTTCATCTTGTTTGTGGAAAGAGCAATAAATTGGCTTATGTGTCTGAGCCAAGTACTTGTGTTTACTCTCTGACATTTGAGACTCCTCTTGTGTGCCATCCCCACTCTCTTTTAGGTAAGATTTAGAAAATCATTTGTGGAGCAGTTGGCATATTACACTAACCTCAGAGTGTCCATTTTTAGGTTCTTCAAGTTTGTACCTTGATATAAATGAGTATTACATGTAACATATAATACAAAGTGTATTTTAAATCCCAGTCATTAGAACACAGATATGTCTCAAATAAATTGTCACTGCTGATACAGACCCAGTGAAGGATTTTTTTTTTTTTTTTCTTGGACTGGTTGTAGGAATCAGCCCTGTAGTATCTGCCCATGTTACAAAAAGGCAGAGCTCAGAATCACACTGAGCAAATAAATGTGAGGCCTTGCAGCTGGAAATAAGAGAAAAATTTCTGGTCAGAGGCATTTTCCAGAAAGTTTAAATGTGTGAAGTGCAATTTAAGTTTAACCCCAACTCTTGAAAGTAGTGGAGACTATGTACTGTATGGAAACACTGAGTTCTTAGAACAAATATGCTTGCATGCTACTAGAGGGGGAATTAACTAATGCAGGACAGTGGTGTTGGTTTTTACATGGTTTGCCTTCCATTTTTCAGTTTATCCAACTCTGCCTGAAGCACTGCAAAGGAAGTGGGATGAAGCAGAGCAGCTTCTGTATGATGAACTAATAACTGACCAGGTTTATTAACTTTTTCCAACTCTGTTCAGTGAAAAAAACAATTACTGTCAATAGCCAAACCTGGCTTCTGCAGTTTCTCCTTTTGGAGTAGATGCATTTATTCTGCAGTTGGCAAATAATAATTTTATGTTCTGTAACTGCTGTGTGAACTGGTAATTGTAATGTTTTCTACAATGAAGCTTGAGGACTTGGAATGGCCAGTGCAAATTACAAGCAGAGATCAGAGTTGAGTGGATTGATCTATTGTCTTTTGAAAACTTTCTTTTTTAGGGTTACAAAAAAATACTGAAAGAGATTTTTGAGGAAGCAGGACTTCTAAAAGCAACAGAAGAAAAAGAAGCTGAGAAACAGAGTAAGAAAATAAGTCTGGAATTCAAAACAGTGGAAAAGTGCAGTAAGGTATAGAGCAAAATATTTACAATATTAAATTTGTGGAATTAAACTGCCACCTTTTTACTGTATCACAGTATCAGCATGAGAGCATTATGTAAATGCTCTTTGGATTCAGCTGAAATCTGTCATGGGATTATCTTTTTTGTTTTCAATATGTAACACTGCATAGAGTGTGAGTTGATATCTTTATTCTAGCCCTTAAGTCAAAACCAAACCAGTACAGATGAATGCCCAGTAAGAAGATGGTGGGTATGTAGGAATTAGGGTATGCACCTGGGTTACCAACACCTTGTAGGTACTCTTTCTGGGGAATATCAGTCTGGAAATAGGAAGGAATTAACAGTGCAAATAAATGTGTAACCAACCTTGAGTACGCTGGTGCTTCTCTCTGTGGATAATTACCCACACTTGTGTCAGGACACATTGGCTGTAACACAAGCAAAAGGCAGAATGACCTATGCTATGTCCATTTCTGAAGGACTTCTGTGTGTGTGAACAGTTCTGCAACAGAATTGGAATAGGGAAAACAGAGGTAGAAGGGGTGCTCACTCTAAAAGAGTGCAAGCTGAACATCAAAAAAAAAGAGCACAGAAGGGAATTAATTATAATGCAGAGAAGAAGTTGCTGTTGTCATTTTATTTGAAAAATGTAGCAAAGACAAAACACCAGATAGCTACTTATATATAATCAGAAGACTGTGGTTAACCTGAATATACATATATAAAGATCACCGTTTTGAAATCATACGAGCTCGCTCGTTAACAATACAGTACTTAATAATTTGTACTTCTTTTTCTGGGTTCATCATAGCTTAATTGACATTAAATTGGCTGTTTTGGTAACCACAGAATTTTAAATAGTTACTCTTTTGCTCTGTCTTTATTCATGTAAACACCAAAAGACAATAAAAAATTGGGGCTTCTCTTGAGATTTCAGGTATGTGGTTTGAGTGTCAAAACTACTAAGCAATCCCTCTCTCTGCAAGTTAACAGAAACTGCTGAAAGCAGGAACATGAAGTTACTAGGTCAAGAGTTGAGGAGGTGACAAATTTCCAGACTGTAGCATTATGATACAATAAAATAAGGCCAGTCCTGAAGAAAACTTAAGAATGCAATTTTGTTCTATGATAAAATGCTACTTAGAGGACAGATTCAAAATAGTTACAGAAAGCACTCCTAATTTTTACACTCAGGCTTGAGAAAAGCTGGCTCCTGTTTTGGCAACATAGACATGTATCTTCTAAAATTTGCACCTTGTTCTTGGAATAAGCAGTTTATCTTTATGATGTTTTAAGTGAAAAGCTGTAACAGTTCTGCACAGACCCATTATGTTTTATAAACTCCCATTTTAGATATGCATTTGGGAAGTGGGAGAACCACTTTAAATGTATTTTCTTTTTTAGGAATACAAGCAACTTTCTGAAGAAATAAAAAAACTTAAAGTTTTATTAGATCAGCACGGTATTGCATACAAAGCAAATTCTGGTGAGTTTTTTTGGTATTGTTCTTTTTATTGTTGTCTATTCAGAATGTGAATACCCCAATACTGTTTTCAGTTATAGCAGCAATTAAATAATCTGGCATATATGAAGGAAGAATTCAGTAGACAAAGTATCTAATAAGTCCTTAGGTTTTGATTCCTGTGCAAGAGGACTTATTTTGTCCCCCAGAAAATCTGTTGATGACTTGAAATTCTAGCTTTGTAGAAAAATGTTGACTGTAATTGAAGTTTGTCTCTAGTCCTTAATGTGCCAAATTAAAAGGAAATCAATGTTACAGCATTGATAGCATAAAAGTGTCTTTTAAGTAATTCCACTTTCTGTATGTTAACCACAAGGTCTGACTTCTTCTATAACATTTGAAATGTTCTCTGTATCTGTTTGAATTGGTTTTTTCCTTTACTAAGTCACCTGTTTCTTTTTCCCTCTCTTTGATTTCTGTTAGGTAAGTACCATATCACATGCAGTTTTTAAAAGGAAAGACTGGTTCTGGCTATGAAGAAGTAAGGCTAATCTGGATTAATTCCAGACAAGTCGGTTTTTTTGGCTTTGTTGTTGGGGTTTGTGGATTGTTTTTTGTGGGCTTTTTTGTTTGCTTGTTTCCTCTCCCTCATTTCTTCCAGGCCATCATGCCCTTTATTACATGAACTGTTTGTCAAAGGAGAATTTAATTTCCTGGAAAAGAAATAGATATAGATATATTTACACTTTTTATGTTCAGAATTGAAGAAAACAAAGCACTGTTGAGCTAATTAAAGTAGCTTAAAATTAGCGACATACTTTTTTTTCTTTTTGCTTTGAGAAACTTTCTTACCTGTTTTTTTAAATTGATGACTTTCTTTTCTAGGAAAAAATCATAATAAAATTTTTTAAAAACATTTTATCTTCCCATATAAACTATTAACTATGTAACTTGCACAGTATTTCTGTGTGTTTGGTAGTTCTATTAATTATTGCAGTAGTTTTTTTAATTATTGCAAATTAGAACTGTATAGTCAAAAGCAGAATTCAGTTTACTCTAGATGACTTATTTCAAAACTATTTATTGACTAATTCTATAACAAAAATATTTTGATGTTTAAAAGCAAAAATAACTGATGTCTTAAACTAAATTTTACAGCTGAAAATACCAGTATTGAATATGTAAGTCACAAACTGGCAACTGCAGTGACAACAGTTCTTAATGGGTCAAAGGATGAGCACCTGCATGGCGACACAGGAATTTGGAACTACACTGTATGAAGAAACTTGGGTGGTTCATATGGAATGTCAATTAAATTGAACACGTATCATGCCACTGAAATGATTTATCTTCTTGCAAGTATTTTTGACTTTATGAATTTCTGCCCTAAAGCAAAGGAAATGTGAGGGCTCATCATTATGAGAACAGCTGGCTAGTTTCTGAGAACATTTGTGAAACTTTCTTTGCTAAGACTGGTGTGTGGCAGAGGTTTACAGATTCTGTGTGTCCAATCCTAGCCTTGTTTTTAATGATCAAGTGTGGTAACAGGTGGTGTAAATAGAAAACAGCTCAAGACCAGTGCTGTTAGATGTTGTATGAAAGGTAATAAATACAGTGTTAAGAACATGTTATTTCATCTGTATGCTAAAATGTTTTCTGCGTACTTTAGCAGAAAAGGAAACGTTTTCTGTCACAGCAGTCCTTTACACACCACCCACCCACATTCAAAGGTCGATGTCATCTTTAGCTATCAGGTTAAATGAAAGCCGTTCGGGATCTGACTGAAACGTGCAATGAAATCAGTGAATTGTTATAAAAGCATAGTTGTGGTAACCTGGCAATTCTCTGTATGTAATACGGAATAAAGTGGACTCCGCGACCACCAGCTGCGGAACCACCACTGCCCCAGACGATGGACGGCGAGAGCGCCGTCCCCGCTCGCTTTGGCTCCTCCTCCTGCGCAGTTCGTGATCCCGTCACGGCTGCGGGAGCCTTCGCGCCTCCCCTTCCGAGCGGCGCGGGGCGGTGCGGGATGATCTGGGCGCTTGGCCGCTGGCGGTGAGGAGCGGGGCCGGGGCCGGGGCCGGGGCCGGGGCTGAGCGGGGCCGGGGCCGCTGGCGGTGAGGAGCGGGGCCAGGGCTGGGGCCGGGGCTGAGCAGGGCCGGGGCCGGGGCCGGGGCCGGGGCCGGGGCTGAGCGGGGCCGGGGCCGAGCGGGGCCGGGGCCACTGGCGGTGAGGGCCGGGCCGGGCCGCTGCCCGTGCCCCCCGCGCCCCCCGCGCCGCTCATGCGTGTCTTTACAGGGCGCGGCGGCCCCCGCGCCTGCCCGAGCCCTGGAAGGGACTCGCACGACGGCGGGACCCGGAGGGTGCGGCGGGCGCGGATCCGGAGAGCGGGGTGCCCATTCCCTTCTCCAGCAGCAAGGCCAGTCCGCGGGTGTGGAGTGTCAGCCGGTCCATGGGGAGCGACCACGAGAGACCGTGGCTGAAGGTGTTGCCTTTCAGTGTGCTGTGCACGGGGCTGTTGCTCTGGTGTGTGTTCAGGGAAAAAACGGAGATTGATGAGCGATTGGAAGCGGTTTTCTCCGGCGAGATCGTGGACTCTTTAGATATGGCCCAAGAAAGCAATGCTCCCTTGCAGCTGCCGAAGGAGCAATGAGGACGGGAGTGCGGCTACAGTGAAGGAGCTGTCAAAAGTTTGCTGGTATTCACCTGGTTAAAAACTGTACCTACTCATTAATGGGAAGAAACCTTGTTTTTTTGAGTCTTTCGGCAGCTTTATCTTGCAAACTTGATTTCTTCATGATGTTTTCTGTGCTGGTCTTACCTTAGTAATTTACTTTGGCAGCAAAAGGCGTAGTTTCTTTCTGGATTGCATGGTAGGGATGAACAAGACATATTGCAATTCAACTTGAATTTTAATATAAGTTTTATATAACCCATCACTTTTTCGTGGATCATTTTTCTTAGATGCTAGGTGTATTAAAAAATATGAAATCTGAATGTCTTTAAAATTGCTGCTGAAGGTGACCTTCGTTTGACATTTTGGTAGTCACAGAGTACGTTCAATTTATATTGCAGACCAGTTGTAAATGTAGTCATTAATATGTGATTGTGGTCTGATTTTTTTTTTTTTAATTCTGCTAAATAACGTAGAAATTACCTTCACGAGTTCGTGCTTTTGGGACTAGAACTTTTTAGGCTTGGCTGATTAAAGTGATCATTACTGGTAGGAGAGCATTTTGCAGAGAATCAAAATGATTGGCTTGCATTATACTGGGGAGGAAACCCCTGGTTTCCTTGAACCATATAGTGCCTAGGCTTTTTCTGCAGATTTTTAGATGCATACTCTGGAGACTTTTCTTGGAGAGGAGAAATGTAAGATACTAATACAACTTAGTTCCCTTCAAAATTAGAGGCATTTTTTTTTAAGCTTTCAAATGTAAAAACAGAAGATTGGTTTTGTGCCATTAAAATCTGTAATTAAAAGCCAAAGCCCCCCACAGATGGCAGCAGCTGTTAAGATAGGCTGGAGCTGTGCAGAAAACTGGCGTAGGATCATGTTTGTCCAATACTGCTGATGAGTCTCTGAACAACATGCACTGTCGTGGCATTTGATTTTGCCATAGAGTCCCTCAGTTTAACCACACGATGCCTAGTAAATGAATACACCTAATTTGGTACTGTCACAGGGTTTAGTCTTGGTATTCAACCTCTACTACAGTAGAATATTCCAAGTGAGGTGTATGCATGGGGGTGTTCTGGTGAATAGAAGAGTGATCCTGAATTGCTTTTATATTGAAGCTAAGGTGTAATGCCTGTTGCTCTTGACTAGCTTTCTTACTCCAAGTTCTATGAAAACAGTGAACCTGGCAACGTGTTGCTTTGTTTAAGGAAATACAGAGCTGCCCCTTCATGCGTGCCTTGTTTTGGGTGATAATAAGTGTTTAATAATAAAACTATTCTCATAGTCTCTTGCTTTCACTGTGTTGGGAAACTTGTCTGTGGCATTTTGTTGTTAAAAGCAGAGTACGGGGCCATCAGCCGAGGCTCCCTGGACCAGCTCTGCATGCTCTTTGTACAACATCCCTTCTTCGGGGCGGTGGAGGGACCCCCGGCGGGGAGTGTGGGCCTGTGCACTGCTGTGTTGGGGTCACGGCAGGCGCGGCCCCGAGAGGATGCCGTGGGTTTGCAGAGCAGTGTCTCGAGGGCTACCAACACAGGAGCAGAGACGAGCGAGGTGAGAATTTTACTCTCGAACTGAATTTGGTGTTAGTTTTAGGATGTTGTCTATGCATATATGTCGTAACTGCTTTTTTTTTTTTCTAGGTGATACACAACCCTTTGCCTGTCTGCTGAATGTGATGAAGGTCCATCCAATAAGAGGTCAAGATAAAGGAGCCTCAGATAGTCACTATGAGGAGGTATGTCAGCATGGGCCTCCACATCTGTGTTTTTTTTGCAGTGGCCGTCTGTCTGCTTAGCGGGCTGTAGCAACACTTCAGCAAGCAGTCTGACAGGGTTTATAGGTCTTCAGCTTGCCTCGAGAGGAATCCCTAAGTATTTGAGAGCTCAGTGATTGAGCATTTACCTATTCTATTTGCAGGGGCGGTCTCGGTAGCAGCTGGAAAGAGAGGAGCCTTCCAGGCGAGTTGGGGAGATAGAGAGGCGGAGCACGGGTCCACTGAATTTTCAGAAAGGCCACGTCACTTTCTCTCTGTGTGTTTCAGGTATGCCACACTACAATAGCCATGGCTGGAGCTGGTAGCGTGAGAACCTCAGTGCAGTTGGGACAGGGTGAGTAGGGGGATTGTTGTGTTCTGGCAGATGCAGTGCTAAACATGGGGAATGATTTTTGGTTTCCTTTCTTTTAGCTGACTAAGAAAATAATCTGGGGACTTCAGGAGCCTTTCAGCTCACCGAGGTGGCTTTCCTTTGCATCACAGATGGATTCACATCCCCAGCCATGCAAAAGATAAGTCAGGGGCTACAACATGGAGAGGGGACAAGAGCAGGGTATCAGCTTGTGGATTTTTGGGAGATATTTTGAAATTAGCATAGGTAAAATGGCCCTTTAGGATAAATCAATGCAGAAGCTTACTTTTGACCACAACAGCAGTGTGTTCAGGGCACAGCAATTTTTGGGGGAGATTTGGGTGAGTTTTTGGACGTTTTTTGGGGTAATTTTGGGTGAGTTTCTGGTCATTTTTTAGGGAGATTTTGGTTAGATCTGGGTCATTTTTTGGGGTAATTTTGGGCGAGTTTCTGGTCAGTTTTTAGGGAGATTTTGGTTAGTTCTGGGTCATTTTTTGGGGTAATTTTGGGCGAGTTTCTGGTCATTTTTTAGGGTTTCTGGTCA